ACTTGGTTTTGGGATAGGTTTGGACTGGTTCTGAACTTGTTTCTGGCTAGCTTTGGACTGGTTTTAGACTTGGTTTTTATCTGGTTTTAACTTGATTCTGGACTAGGTTTTGGGGTCATTTGAGGCTAGTTTTGGACTGGTTTTGGTCGTGGTTCTGGGGTTACTTTTGGACTGTTTTGGACCGGTTGTGGACTTGGCTTCAGAACTAGCCTGGATTTGGTTTTGTTCTGGGCTTGAACTCGGTTTTTGAAACAACTTTTCAAAGTGTTGACGGGGGTTGAAGCTCCGCCTCACCCGGATGTAGTTGGCGTTGATGTAGCGGTCTGGCCCCGCCTCTTCCTCCGGACTCCTCAGGACCACCCGGCTCTCCGGGTCTAAACAGGAAACAACAACAGTAAACAGCAGAACGCGGCCAGAACAGAAGGTTCTGGCTGAGGAGCGGCTCACTGACTGGGCAGGATGGTCTTGTATCGGTCTTTCATCGTGTGTCCGGGAACGTCCAGCTCGGCGGCGCTCACAAAGTTCGGAGGAATCTTCTGTCGAGGAAACGGACGAAGTTTACGTTAAAACAAACGATCGCAGAGTCAGATCCCTGATCCCTGATTGGCTGGTCTTCACCGTAAACTTTACAGCTAGTTTATAATACTAGTTAGTTTATAATACTTTACTGTGTAATACTTGAAGGAACAAATATGTGTTGAACATAAAACATGTTTAAAAAAGATCTGAAATTATACTTTATAGTAAACAGTACCTGGTAGTTATACTGGTAGTACAAGTACCTGATAGTAGTACTATGCAGTAAGAGTAGCCAGAAGTACCTGGTAGTAGTAGGACTCTGCAGCAAAAGTACCCAGTAGTAGTACTATGCAGCAAAAGAACCCGATAGTACCTGGTAGTAGCAGGACTCTGTAGTAAAAGTACTTGGTAGTTGTATTTTGGAGTAAAAGTACCCAGTAGTAGTACAGTGCAGTAATAGTACATGATAGTACCCAGTAGTAGTAGTATGCAGTAAAGGTACCTGGTAGTACCCAGTACTAGTACTGGTGGTTGTGGTTGTGGTGGTGAAAAGTACCTGGTGGTTGTACCCTATAGTAAAAGTACCCGGTAGTAGTACTATGCAGTTAAAGTACCTGGTACTCGACGTTGAGCGCGCTGGTGTCGGCTGCAGCCTCCTGCAGCAGCTGG